TAGATTTTCCTCACCATGGTTTTGAGTGAAACCATTGTTTTGGACAAGCTATGATCCCCTCTAACAACCACTATCCTCTCCTCGACCTTAAACTCCATCATTAAAACCTTCTAATCAATTTTGGTCTTCCCCAATTTTCGCAACCACTTCATTCCCAGTACTGTATTTGCGTTCCCCAAATACAATGGTAGAAAATCGTCCAATACTTGAACCTCTTGAAGGATTAGGATCACCCCTTTTCAAATTCCTCTACCCCTCCCTACTTTTCTTGTTTCTAGCATAACCCCGGAGTTCCCCATGTTCACTAATTTTACTCCCAATTGATCCACCATCCTGTTGGAAATAAAGTTATAGGTAGCTCCAATATCCACCAGTACTACTACCTCCTGATCCGCTCGTCACCTTAACCTTCATGGTGTGGTTCAGTGTGAACTCGGCCACTGAGTTAAGGAATAACTCTGCAACATCTAAGTGCAGGTGATCATATTCCTCAACATCTTCCTCTACAACATCTTCTCCTCATCACAGACTGTTAGGAACTGTAATGAATGGTCCTTATAATGGTGGCTTGGAGCAAACTTCTCATCACAACTAAAGCATAAACCTTAGTACTCTTATCTTGAATTTCTGACTCAGTCAATATCTTGAAGTTTTCCCTTGATCGTACTCCTTGACCTTTATCCCTCAGGGCACCTTTGGTGTCAGAAATGTAGTGGTTGTATGATAGGAGACTCCCGAACTGCTGCCACGGCTATTCCTCTCCAAAGAGTTTTTATCCTCCACCAGCTGGGCATTGTATATGTGAATGACATCATCTTTATTGGAAATGATATAGAGGAAAATAATGAAGATCAAGCAAGCTTTATTCAAGGAGTTTGAAGTTAAAGATCTAGGATCACTTATTTACTTCCTTAGTATGGAGGTAGCTCGATCAAGCAAAAGTATATTTATTTCCTAATGCAAGTATACCTTAGAACTACTGAAGGAGACCGACATGCTAGGATGCAAACTAGCCACTACACATATGGATCCTAAGAAGAAACTAGGGATAGAAAAGGAGGGAGTTTCAGTAGATAAAGGAAGATATCAACGTCTAGTATGAAAGATTATATACCTCTCTCACAACTGTTTAGATATTGGGTTTGCTATGAAAATGGTAAGCCAATATATGAGTAATCCTATGAAGGAGCACATGGAGGCAGTATATCAAATATTGATATATCTCAAGAACACTCCTGGAAAGGGGTTATTATTCAAGAAAAATGAAGATAGAAAATTGATCCTTTATTCTGATGCAAATTAGATAGGAAGCCAAGTTGACAGTTGATCGACCACGGGATATTGTTCATTTGTGTGGGGGAACCTAGTGACATGAATAAGCAAGAAACAATGTGTTGTTTCCATAAGCAGTACAAAATCTAAACTAAGAGGCTTAACAATTACTATTTGTGAAGGCATTTGGATCAGACAAGTATTGATTGAACTGGGAAAAAAGATTGAATACACGATAAAGTTGAAATGTGATAATCAAGCAACAATCAGTATGGCTAAGGATCTAGTACATCACGACAACACAAAATAAGTTACTACTGATCAAGGTTTAAAATTGCGTAAATAAGCATCGAGACGGTTTTCGTCCGTGAGGCGACGTAGAATTGCCAAAATGAGAATTTAAGGGTTTTAGCATGTAAATAATAGCAAGATTCTATCATACAATAAAAACATCTAAATGACAAGTGGAATTAGTGGAAATTAAGAAAAGAGATGCAATAAAAGTATGTTCCAAAGTACAAAATCACAAACTTATAATCTATCAGAACTCTCAAAGTACAATTAAGAAGGAACATATAAAATCCAATCATATCCAATCACTAAATGGGTCTTCAAGAGAATCTTCTTCTCTAATTGTATCTATGAATGTCATATCTTCATCATCTTCAATATGACTCTCTTTTCTCTTCTCTGTTCAATAAAAATGATCATTAATTCATCTCGCCGCCTCCAACATCAACATGTACACTGTATTTCCAAGAAGGGTCATGCCGCAATGACGTTTTTTTTTCCTTTCCCCTAACCATGTTTCCTAGTGCACAAATGCGAAAACATACAAAAAATCTCAAAAAATAGAAAACCCTATATTTTCTATAACTTTAAAAAACTTTTCTTGAACTTAAAAACAATACCTAAAACCTATAATGGAGTGCTTGTAGAGGGCGGCCGGACCTTTCTTGATCACCGGTGTGAGGTGGCGCTGGCGGGAGAGGCGGCAGATAGCGAGCGGAGCCCGTGCGAAACTTCTACGAACGGAGCCCGTGCGAAACTTTGCGGGAGGATTTTTTCGGTTCACTAGAGCTGAATGGTTTAACATGAGAAACATGTCATTTTTAAGTAGGTGGGACCTAGTTTAAAGAGGCGTACGCCTCACATAAAATTGCGCACTAGCGCCTCTTTACCCGTGAGGCGTACGTCTCACCTAGAGCCAGAATTGCGTGGGCTTTAAGGAGCTTGAGGGCTGAATTGCGCAAAGGCGCACCTGCGCAATTTTAAACAGAGCTATTGATAGACATTTTATATATGAGAAAATAGAGAACTCAGAAATTAAAATAGTATATATCCCAACTCATGAACAACTTGTCGATGTTCTAACAAAGGTACTACTAGGCTCTCTACTTGATAAGTTTGTTTGCAAGTTAGGATTGTATAATCTGTAGAACCCAACTTGAGGGGGATTGTTGAATCACGTAGCTAAGGGGAGGCCACATCAGCAACCAGTGAGCAGCAATCCGAGGGCTATAGTTGGAGATCTGTGGGCAATAATCTAAGGGCTATAGTTGGAGATTCTTGGGAAGCAATCCGAGGGCTGCAGTTTGAGATCCATGGGCAGTAATCCAAGAGCTGCAGTTGGAGATCCATGGGATATGATTATTATAATTAATTAGATTAAATATCTTTTTTTTTTTGTTTATTCTCCTAAAAATATATATATGTAATGATTCTAAGGAATATAATAGAATTTGAATTTCTCTCTAAACAATTTCTTTAGTTTGATTAAGAAGAAAATACATAGCAGTTTTTTAAACTCATAACAGCACATACCCTAGCATAAAAAAAGTTAAAGAACACCCTTATGTTAGGCATTGAGCAAATAAAATGAACATCATGGAAGTAACAAATCAATTCATTATTTCCATTCTGTGTAACATTCAAAGGATGCATCATAGGTTTGATTTGGCATATTATGTTATTGTTTTGTATTGTCATATTTGATAAAAAATAAAGTCACCTCTACTTTAATGGAGATGGGCGGATTGCAATGCTTTCTAATTGGTTCAAGTTGAACAAGCTCAATTTTGCTTAAAGGAAGAATTTTCTTTTCCATAGTGGAGTTTCAGAACATCATTGGGATCATGTTCTACAGCGAACTCTTCCTATAAATTGGCTAGTTAGATTTGTTTTTTGATGTGACTTCATGAATAAGTTGTGGATTCCTTTCCAAGTAGATGGTCTAATAATATTTAATTCACCGAAGATATTTCACATCCATGAACTTTTTCTACTTCTTCTCTTTAATAGTATATAAATATGTTATTGTTATAATTACCAAGAATTGCTTCAAAATCGTAGGAAAATTGATATACATTATCTTAAAACTAACTAAATTTGCATTTTTTAGATGAATCCATCATAAAATTAACATTAGAAGAAATCAAAATGATATTCATTAAAAAAACAAAATTACTAACTTAATACTCACAAACTAAACTTCACATCTTATTATGTTGTTTGTTATCCTAAACTTTTCATCTAACCTTCTTATGTCCCTGGTTTTCTTCCTCTACAACTCCTCAAGGCAGTAGCATCACTTCATCATACAACCATGAAGAACATACTTCACAAGAAACTTTTTATCTTGTGAGAGTAGACATGAAATTTCTTCATTTGACATAGTAAAACACAACACTACTGAATCTTGTGAGAGTTTTTGAGAACCAAAAAAATAATAATAATGTAGGCAATATGGTTGGACTAAAGTACCATGATTCATACCTGATTTACTAAAATAAATGTTAAATATAGTATAATAACTTTTGAGGACAAGAATTATAACATAATAAAAAATATTCACTGAACATTCATGGCATGCTGAAATATGAACTTAAGGAGAAAATAGAAAGAAGTGAGAACAATATCAAAGAAAGAAAAAAAAATACATTTACCAAACTACACCCAGGATGAGCCAAATAATGCAGAGCATGTTTTGATTAAGAAGAATGTTCTCACGTTAGGCATAGAGCAAATAACATGACACGATGCTTTTGATTGGTCAAGCAATAAGTCAATTCATTATTTCCATTCTACACAACATTCAAAAGGCATATTAGGTTTGATTTGGTAACATTGTGTTATTTTTGTATTGTCATACTTGAAAAGAAATAAAGCCTCCCCTACTGCAATTCTTTCCAGTTTGTTCAAGTGGAAGGAGTTCATTTTGGTGTACAGGAAGATCTTTTTTTTTTTGAAAGCTGAATTTCAGAACATCATGCGGTCATGTTCTACAGCTTACTCTTCCTATAAAATAGCTAGTTAGATTTAGTTTTTGATGTTGCTTAATAAATAAGTTGTGAATTTTTCCCCAAGTAGAAGGGCATGATCTAGTAATCTTTAATTCACTGAAAATACTTCAGATCAATTACTTTATTCTACTTCTTCGCTTTCATATTATGTTATTGTGGAGTTGTCATAATTACCAAGAATTACTTCAAGACCCTAGAAAAATCACCTTCCATCATCTTAAACAAAAATAATAATTCATAGTTTGAGACGAACCCACATAAAATTAACACTAGAAGTCATTAAATGATATTCACCAAAAAAGCCAAAATACTAAATTACTGAATTAAATGTAATTGAACTTTATCGTAAAATTGCTAAATTAAAGCTCATAAACTAAACTTCACATATTAAATGCAATAGACAATATGGACGTCGATGTAACTCACCGCCCAGTATGGCAAGACGTCGATGGTCCTGCTCAAAGCAAGCCAGAGGACACCGTATCCGATGAAGCAAGAAGCGGCGCCGATAAGGAGGACTAGCCAGGGCGGAAGTCGATTGCAGACGACGCCGGGGAGCATGCCAAAGTTTTCGCCGATGTCGTTGGCGACGCCGAGCAAAGTGAGTTGCCGTTGATTATAGCCGAGCACGGATTTGAGCTCAGGCGAATAGAGGGGAAAGTTGTAGCCGGCGCCGGCAGCAATTTGAACCCAGACCGCCGCTGCCAAGCCAACCCATGGCGGGCGGCTGCCGGCTTTCACAGCCGGCATCTCGGCAAAGCAGTATCCCCTAGTTATTTAAGAGTTGAAGAAATCTGCTTACGGGAGTGATAAATAACACATACGGAACACACAAAACTAGCTCCTTTTCTCTCTCTTTTGTGTAGGAGAACGAGGGCAATTATAGCTTTGGATCCAGGAAAACTGAATGCTAATCCTCTCTATATGTATGACCGTCTTCCTCACTCTCCGTCTCCCCAGGCCTGAAGACAAATGGGGCGTTTAAAGGCTTTGGGTCTCTCTATACGGCGCCGTCCACAAAAGGCATAAACCCTCTGAGTTAAACTAGTTATTTAGATAATACTTAATCGACTGAGTAAAGAGGTGTGGATTTAAGCAAATTTATGATTAATTTTTAGGGGTTGTTTGGTTTGAAGGGTTTTAGGTGTAAAATATTTCAAATACATAGGTTTGAATGTTGGCAAATGATTATATAAGAAATAAATTTAAATTTAAATTTTGAAACTCATCTTTTTGTTTTTTTCTTATGTATTTCAAAATATGTTGATTCAGTCGATTTCTAAAAATAATGCAAGCCGTCAACACTAAACTCTACCGGTTACTGGCAAACGAAGGTCATCAGCGCCTGTAACTACTACCATTTGCTACCTTACTGCTACCGTGATTGATAGCCATAAGTGAGTTTAACATTAAATTAATTTTACTTCAAAAATACACTTCTATATTTATTCTATACTCAATCAATAAAACAATTTCAAAAACATAATTTTACCTTACATTAATTTTGATTACTACAACCAAACAATCTCATAATCTCTCATGACTTTAATGACGCATTTTTTATGATGAAAATCAAGTAGACATTTACAATATGCTAGCCGTTTTATAAGAATTAGTACTCATGATTTATTCATCGGTGCTTATACAAGAATACAATGCTCACATGAGTGTCATAGGCGGGTAGCATGATCAATGAAAATGTTAAATTGAGGTCCACTTAATTAGATGATTTAGCCACTTAGTGTTCTTTTATTGAATAAAATCATATAGTTATCAAATACTCTTGTAATTTGTCGGCTAAAGGGTTTTAGCATTTTCTTGAACATTAAAGCATTTATAATCTCTCATCATCAATGTGGCATGTCATATATTGTCATTTTTATCTAACTTTATAGGTTATCACATGAAATAAGGTTTATTATGAATTGGAAGATATTAAAAAAAAATCATGTGAGTGTGTGAGTTTTACGTTTATCTTTGTTGAGAAATTTCAAGAGAGGAAAACCACATAGGCTAACAAAGAAGTAAAAAATCCATAAGTTGTATGTTTAGTGTCTATAGTTTATTCATCTCAAAGTAGGTGAAGAGATCTTAGTACATGTTCTCATTGAGATGGTTGTAATAAAAACAACTACTTTGGGGACAACAAAAAATGATGGCCACACTTGTTGGTCAAAAGTGTAATAGAGGTAAGTGAATGAATGGTTGAATGAGTTTCTATACAAGTCAACACAAATAATAACTTCTCCCAAGTAGATTTGATACAAACTTTAATGCATCATAAATAATAGCAACAACTAACACCTCATTGTTGAGAAGGCCCCAACATCCCATTTTTGGTAAGCATTGCATTTAATTTATTCAATGAATCTCATGCGTGTTCAAGGCAAGCAAACATTGTTCACTATTTTTCAATGGTTTTTAAGAGGGCCATCAGCAAATATCACATTTATTTTATAAACGAGCAGAATTAGCATCAATTAGGTCTTTGCTAGAGAGTATCATGAGTGTCACATCATATCCAAGATGCTTAAGCATCAATAGGATAACTTTAAATCTAAAGTCAAACTCTAATTACCCAAGCTAAGCACAAACATCAAATAACTTATCTTTTGTAATGATAACAAAATAGCTCTTATTAGTTATCATCTTATATTAGGTTTAGGTTTGTTATAAATCGTAGCTTATAAATATAACTTGAATGATTTAAGAATTCCTGTTAACTTGATTCATAGGAAGTCTCTTCATCTCTCTCTCTCTCTCTCTTCTCTCACTCTCACTCACTCATTCTCTTTCTCTCTTTTTTGCTCTCTAACGCACACACATATACTTCGTATCTTATTCGACCACTTTAAGATGTCCAATATACTTCAAGAAGTTCTCTACAATGGACTGATTCTTAGTTGGAGACAACAACCAAATACATTATTAGCTTTGTTGGGCATCGATATTATCAGTGATGGGCATCATCATTATCTGTGAAGGTAGTCATTAGACATGTTAACAATTATAGGCATTGGTCATAGTGGCAATGCAAATGTTGACCTTGTTGTCTATGGAGAACATTAACATTGGTGGCAATAATGGACAACCATGTTGTTAACAGTGGCTGTTGAGTGCTAGTAGATAAGCCCTGGATTTTCCTATATAAAATTTTATATGGTCTAAATGTCATCTCTATAAGTGTTTGAAAATATGATTTATTTCACATTTTTAGACTTAAATATTTTAGTCATTTTTACCATATATTATAATACATCATTAGATAATCCATTTGATCTTAGTTGATTGTATAATAATTTCAAAACATTTGAGGGTCATTATATAGGTGATCCTAGGCTCATTAGATTCATCTTTAAGTAAACAATGAACCTATGATGAAGGGGTTGAATGGGTGTGTAATTTAAAACTCAAACAAGCAAAAGTTTTTTTTTTTAGAAAATACTTTTATTATTATAAAAATAAAATAAACATAGCTTTTTTAAAAAAGAATAAGAGATTTCAACACAATACAATATTTCTAAGATGATGGTACAACAAACAAAAAGTTCTAATTAGTTTTATACACTAGTTTGAATCATGACATGCATATATCATCAAGTGAAAGGTAACTTGAATATTCAAACCATTTTATCACATGAGAAATTAAATGAGATATATTTTTTCATTATACCAAAAATATAATAATTAATATCATTTAAATAATTAAAGTATTAGTATGGAAAAAGTAATGGGTAAGAAATGCATAAAATTTTTTTCATAGTTTGACATTAACATTTGTGTCCATGCTCAATCCCTCATACTTGAGATTTCACTAGTATCTCATTTAGCTACCACTAATTGAAGAAACCCCTCTCCATAATGGCTATGGGAGAAATCCTACACCATTCTCTTCTTATTCAAGTAAGAAGTCACTACTCTAGACCACTATCAAACTAATGATTCTAAAAACATGCTTCTTTGAGATCTCATGAATTCCTTATATAAGAATTTATCAAAAGCTTCTACAATAGCAACAATAATTAATTTAGAAGATATAAGATGTAGGAGGAAGAAGAAGATAAATAAGTGCACAAAGTACATGAAAGATCATAATAAAGGTTTTTCAAAACAACAATAAAAAGCTTTTTCCATTAAAAATTCTTCTTTCTCACCTCTCTTGCTAATTTCCACTCTTTCTCTACTATCACAAATATGAAGGGTTATATATATATATATAAACAACGTTCAACATGATACAAAAATGTATGAAATTTTATATGAACCACATAAATATTACTATTCATGGGGTAAACTTGTATACACATTCAACAAAAGAAAATAAAAAAGTCATTCATAAGAAAAATTCAGGATATGATTTTAAATCATTATTATTTTATAGCTTCTTTCTATTAGTGTTAACATACTAAAATACTTAAAATATTTTACAACTTAAAATACTAGGTGAAAATTTATACATGTTAATGTCACCAAAATATTTTGTTCCACCACATACCAAAAGTTGCATGGTGAAAAGTGAAAGTTCGTATAGGTTGTTAAACCACTAAGAACCAGCCTGAGGATAACCAAGAGGGTGGTGAATTGGTAATTTAAAAAATTCTTCTAAGAAAGAAAAATATTTGTTATACTTTTTCAAACAGTTCTTTAGGATGACTTGAAGAATATCTCCATTCCTTAGGTAGTGAATTTTTCCAGCTTCTACCCTTGCTTTCATATTTGTAGATTCTACTCCATGGGTGACTTTTACTACTTCTTCTTTTACCCTAGACCCTACAAAATTATCCGATTCATCAAAAACTGCATGAGAGATCTCCTCTATCACCAGTGCCCTTTTATTGAAAACTCTAAAAGATTTTTAGACATTTGAGTATCTTAGGAAGTCTCCATCATCAGATTTAGAATCAAATTTTCCTATAAGAGATTTCTCATTATTTAAAATGAATACTTTACATCTAAGCACATGAAGATGAGAGAGGTTGGGTGTCCTACCCTTAAGGATTTCATAAGTTGTCTTGTTTAGCTTGGATCTAACATTAACCATATTCAAAATATAAGAAGTTGTATTTATCTCTTTTGCCCAAAAGTATTTAGAAAGTGAGTATTCAGCTAACATTGCTCTAACGGCTTCTACTAAGGTCCAATTATTTCTTTCAGCTACCTCATTCTGCTAAAGGATTCTAAGAGCTAAAAAATTATGATCTATCACTTGCTCCTTATATTATGATTAAAATTTCTCAAACTCTCCAACATAATCACTATAAATTATCATAATTTACACAACCTAGCTTCCTTTGAATCCAAGTAAAGAATGTCCTAAATTCCTTGAATGATTCACTTTTATGAGATAAGAATCTAACCCAAGTAAACCTTGAGTAATCATCAACAATAACATACCCAAAGACTTTTCCTTTTAGGCATGTAGTGCTAATGGGTCCAAAAAGATCCATGTGAAGGACTTTTAAAGGTTTGCTAGTGTTAATGTCCTTGATTGAGTGGAAGGAGGATTTGATTTATATTCCTAAATGAAAGGCATCACACAGGTAATCCTTAGAGTTTAGGTATGCCTCTCACTAAGTTTTGATGGGTGATATTTTTATTATTTTTCATGCTTGCATGACACAATCTCCTATATCAAAGACAGGATCCATCATTAATAATTTGTAAGCAAAGAAAAGTGGCAAATTCAACGCAATTCAAATCAAGCATGTAAATATTATTAATTCTTTTTTCCTACAAAATAGTTTTTCCATTTAAGCTTATCATGTAGCTGGTAAATAAAAAAATTATGCAAAAACTTTTATCATAAAGTTGGCTAATACTGAGCAAATTATGTTTTAAGCTATCTACCAATAAAATATTTTCAATGATGAATATTTTTGAGTTACCAATTATACCTTACCTCACTACCTTTGTCACGACCCAACCAGACCGGGACGGATCCCGCTCGCATCGGGTCGTGACACAGCCTTTGAAAATTCAGGATCTGGTTTTGGAATTTGCTTCCGACTTTCTTCCAGAGATTAAA